TTTATTTTTTATTCTTTTATTGATTTATTTTTGTAATCTGGCGCTCTCACTGCTCCATCTGAACCCGCCCTGTACTCACCTGTAAACCGTGGTGGTCGGCGTGGTGACTTTCTCATTCAGAATGCGGCACTTGAACTTGTTGTACTGTAAAGGACGAGGCCGTTTGTCAGCTGTTGTTTTTCTCTCTTTTCTTTTTTATATATAAGCATGTGTGAGTACTTTAGGATACCTTGAACATTTCCAGCAGCGTTTCCTTCTTGATCTCCAGCCTCTCAAACGGCTGCTTCTCTTTGATGATCTTCTTGCACAGGTTCTCCAGACAGGGGAAGTCGTTGCTCGATACGCCCCTGTGCAAAAACATCAAGAGGTAAACGCAACAGAAACACTACAGCCGGCGATAATTTCCCCACTTTAAAGTCCGCATTGATATGCAAACGCTCTCTGCTGCTAAATTTAGCCTGCCACACTTTCCAAAGGGCATCATGGATGTGACCAGATACTCAACCGTGTGAACAGACCTTTTGTCCACCGGTGTGACGCCTCGACTTCCAGAAACTGATAACCTCTGCCAAGGATGGGCAAATACTTTCAAGTCCTTGGCTTTAAGGCTTAGGCAATGTCAAAATATCCTTGTAAAAACAGTCTCCAAGAATGCCATTAGCATAAAATGACTTCATTAAGGAGGTTGTAGAATTAATTAGACAGCACTCCTCAAGCTCTCCTGCAGCCTATAGCGGGCAGAAAGGCGTCCGTTAGCGGGAAAGGTCAAGTGAAAAAGTTGTTTACCAGGAAAAAGTGTTGCAGTTTCACAGGATGTCTCAGCTTCAAAGCTTCACTGAAGTCATCTCCACTTTTCTGATTTGAATAGATTGACTTTTAGGATTCCAATTTTGTGGGCAGATTTAAAAGATGTCACACCCAGCAAAGCCAGCTCGACGGCATTAGTGCCACAACCTGCTTTGTGTCTGCTGCTGGTGTCGGACGGGGAACCAGAATGACAGCTGCTAAGCCCTCAAGTACACACTAATAATAACAACACGAATGCCGCTAATTACAAAGACGAGCGACTCACTCGTTGTTGTCCAGGAACATGTCGTAGTAGAAGCCGCTCTCGATGGGGGGTCCGTAGCACAGGCAGCCTCCGTACACCTTCTCCATGGCCTCTCCCAGGATGTGGGCGCTGGAGTGCCAGTAAACCTACAGAACGTACACGGAGAGCATCGTCCAATCAGCAACAACAACAACAAACTCTCTAATTAAAACTATTATCAGCGGACTTTGTGGAGGCCTTTGAGGAACCACTTAAACAATCTGCATCACTTCTTCTGAATGCTGAGGATACAAAAAACATATTAAACTAAGCAGCGTTATCTGTGGACGAATGGGACCATAAAAGACAGCATGACTGAGACTTTGGGTTCTCCTGCTATAAGTACTGATTATTAACTGACAAACGTCCCTCCTTTATGTAATCCCCAAAGTGCTGTGTGAAGACAATGAGGCTGAAAAGAGACACTGGTTGGTGCTGCTTTTATCACACAACATATTCTCACTCATCCTGACTTCGCTGTGGTTTGGACACTCGGTAAACCACAAAGGTTTGAGGTTTAATATTGATTGTAAACATCTTATTGATCATTCTAACCTTGCAGGTTAGCCTGCCTCATATGCATATCAACATGGTGTAAAACAGGGAAGCAGCAACAATCCTGTGCAGATGTGCTGAAAACATTAAACTCTGAGTTCATTAAGAAGAAAAAATAATATTGCAAAAATCAGTTATAACCAGAGACATAATTTGCTAAATTGTAAAAACAGATTAATTATTATAAGCTTCCATATAAAGCTGGAAATTTGTACTTTGACTTCAGATAAGTAGCAGCAAAACCCATTAAAAATTAGAAAATAATTAAAATAGACTAACAAAAACAATAAGATTGCATGCTGGAGTCTATCCCAGCTGACTCAGGGTGAAGGCAGGTTCACCTGGACAGGTAACCAGTCTATCACAGGGCTACACTTAGAGACAGACAACCAAGCACACTCACATTCACACCTACGGACAATTTACAATCACCAATTAACCTCAGCATGTTTTGGGAGGAAGCCGGAGAACCCGGAGAGAACCCACGCTGCACGGGGAGAACATGGAGACTCTGGGTGTCCTCACCGGGACGCCAACCGGCGACCTCCTAACCACTGAGCCACCTTGCAGCCCTCCTCACAGACTTTCTCTGAGTAAAACCAGAAGGTGAGTGCAGCTACTTACAGCTTGAGCTTCCTCGTCATCAAATTTGAGCAGCTGGAGGCTGCAGTCGTCTTCCAAAGGTCTGTCCAGGTCCCACACGCCGTTGTTCACTTTGGCGATCACCGTGTTGTCAGCAAGGCCTTGACTGTAAAACACAAAGTATTCCACATTAAAACAATGCACACATGTACATATAAAACTGCAATAAATGGCTCCATTTGAACAGCACATTCATTTGCTTTTCATTTTCTTACAAAACCTCATCAAACGTTATCATGCATCGTTCGTACGGTCCGTTCTATTCTGCCCTTGATGCGTTTATTAGATTATCATCACATCAGAACTGATCATTTTAGATTTGGTTTTGAACAACCGGGCCCAGGGAATAACTCCAACCAAGCCTGTAATTTGTGAATGACCAGCTCCACCTCCTGATCTGCAGCTACCCGGAGGACGAAAACATCAATTAGATTTTATAATTGAAGCGGTAACGTCGACTTTCAGCAGCGAAGCCTGGTCAAAAGTGGTCAAATGTCCAAACATGGCTTTTATGTTTTATTTACACCCCTTAGAACTAAAATATTCTTCCAATAATAACGACCTACTGGCTCTTTTCTGTAGTGCACAGAAAGCCTAGAGGGCTCCAGATATCAGATAATTAAAGTTCACCCAAATTTTCTCACTTTGCCCTTTTGGCAATGACTAAATAAATTTATTTTTGTGTGAATTCTCCCACACATCAGTAATTTCATAACACATTATGGAAATTATTGGAAGCAAGGATAGAGGTGCAGCTAAATGTTTTGTGCGTTTAGCCCACTCTAAAGGATGAACTTAAAAATGAAGCAGGTGGTTCTGGAGAAAAACAGTTGATCTTTCGCTAGTTAGCATATTTAGATGATTAGCACAACATCACAGATTTATCACCCCTTTGGTTCTACCTGCCCCCCTCCATCTCCCCCGGTCTGGGCCACTCTTTCGTTTCCCATTCATAGAGCCAGAGCTCATACAGTCTTTCTTTCAGGGCACACACACAGATTGGAGACGTAGCAGACTGTGGGGAGATTTTGACTGAATTTGACAAAAAGCATATTGGATTTGAATTGTGCACTTTGGCTGTAATATAAGCAGCAGTAATCTGCAGGAAAAGGAGCTGCTCTGCTGGCTGCACGCCTGTCATGGCACCGGACGACTTCCTCTGAGATACTGTGTGCTCTTTTTTTTTTTTTTAACAAACATCAATGCTCCGACCACAGAGGCACTGTTCCCGGCCATGCCTCGGCTGCACTCGTCGCTTTAGATGCGATGCACAACACCGGCCGTTTTATCATACGTCAGTGTTTTCCACCAGTTGATGATTTACTTGTGGTGGTGAATAGCACAGCGGGACCAACGTGCATGTAGAGATTCATGCAGTTTGAGGGGGAGCGTGTATACAGATTCCCTTTTATTGCGTCATGTGCAGACTTTTAGTAGATGCTGCAATTTACCAATGTTCCCTAAAGGCGTCGTATGCGACTGTGCACGCTACTGGGTGACAGAGAAGCGTGCTAATGTGAGATTTGGATGATTTTCTCTACCTGCCCAGCGACACACACACACAGAGCGACCTGCTAAATGTCAGGTGCACCAGAGCGACCAGCGAAAACGTTTAGTCACACTTGACAGATTTTAGGTTGAACGTACGACCGAAACAGTCTCATGCTGGAGCCCTGTCTGGATGTGTGTCTCATGACAAGTGAAACCAAAAGCTTCAGCTCATGTGTATTTGTCATCAGGTCTTTTTCTTTTGTTTGTTTGAGAGGAAATGAGTTTGCTCCGTCCACATATTTAGATAAAATACTCTCCACTGTGACGTTAATAGGACCAGTCGTGCAGTAGATGTTGTCAGGCTGGTCTTACAAGGCGTGTGCTGGTTTGACTGAGCTCTATATTGTTTACTAAGAGAACAAACAGGACTGCTCCCGCCCATAAAGTGCACAAATTTCCCTACAAAACTCCTTGGTCTTGTGAATTTTGCACATCAAAAACAGGCTGATGTGTGTCACAAAAGGTCAAAACCCCCAAAGTTACATACACCAGTATTCTGTTTGCATCATGCAGAAATTACAGATGGGGCTGGATCCTTTAAGCCATATGAGTGATGCTGGCAACTAATGGCGGTTATGGAGCTTGTGACATTTCCCAAAAGCTTTCCACTGTGCACACTCTGCAGTCTGTTCATGTGCCCCGTGGTTACCAAAATTTAATCTCAAAGCACACTCTTGGCAGTTCCTTTACACAGGACCATGCTGATAAAGATAATATTCTTAGGCAATACCAAAGCAAAGTTTCCTCTACTTTTTTAAAGATTATCAAGCTTTTTTCCTTTTCCAAGTACTTTCTTGCCTTCAGTGGACAGTCGAAGGTTGGCAGATGTCACTCCTGATTACTGTTTTCCTAATGTGGGTGTTGTGAAGCCTTTTGAAACTGTAGAAATGATTACAGGCTGCACGGACGAACTTGACAGCTAATCTTTGGAAATTAAATTCCTGAAGCACCCTTGAGGTTTCCCTCTTTTTTTTTTTTGTGCTACATGAAAGCAAAGCGTAACATTACTCCAGGTAACAATTACAGCAGCGCTATCACGACGCTGACCTGATTCCACAGGCCACCTGGTACGGCGTGGTCTTCCAGGACTCGGCCTCCACCACCTTTCCATCGGGCAGGGTCACCTTGATAGGTTTGCTCTCCTTTGCAGCCCTCTCTGCCATCAGAGCTTCATGCTCAGCCTTCAGCTTTGCGTACAAAGTCAGACGCTCGTCAATGTACTGAGGAGGCGGCGACAGCTAGACAGAAATAAAAGAGGTGTAAGTGAACATGAAGGAGGTGGAAAATACCTTATGTAGTGATTCATCTACACAACTGTTTTACATCCGTCTAAATGAAGATAACTGATAGTCGTCTTGCTCAGTTGCATATCTAACATTATTAACAGGTGGTTGATATAAAATAACCCAAATGATTTTGTTTGTCTAACCCCTGACTTTTAAATGACCTCATCTTCCACTTTGGTATTTATGTAAAACACAACAGGACAACATAGTGAGAGCACAAATATGCACCAACACGTTATTTGGCCTGTGCTGCACTGAGGAACCAATACCTCATATACTAATGGTTTGTGTTTGGGATTTCTGAAACATCTTCTGTCCTGGAACACAACTGCTATAACTATCTCAGTGTGACATTTATTTATTTATTGCATTGAAAAGTCTGTGAAGTGTTTTTTCCAGATTAAATATTCTCACTATGCTGAACGACAACAACAAACTGTCAATAATCAACAGGTTGGGTGAGATGTGGGCAAACAATGACAGAGATCTACACAAATACACACCACAATTTAACTTCTTGACAAACAAGACATTGTGATGCCATCTAATAATAGCACCTGCATACCTTCGGGCACTTAATTGTAGTCACTCACCTCCGCCTTGCCTCCAGCATCCCCAGCAGCATTTTTAGCTTTCTTCTTTCCTCCATCTTTACCACTTTCAGCTCCACCCTGACCAAAAGTGAAACAAAAAGGTTACCAAACATTCAGAAAAATTACTTCATATGGTATTATCAGAACATGACAAAACCTGTCAGAAGAGTTGCACAGGTAAATCCTGCATACAGGTCATCCAACAGCCTCACGCCACTGTAAGGCACACTTGGGCAATTTGTGGGATTGCAGTATTTCAGAGTGAGATTTCAATTAAAGACTGCCCATTTAATGCACTGGGTGTGTGCCGATTTAAACAGAGAACCCATGCAATTCATAAAAAATGTCCTAAAAGTTGGTCTGGCGTGTCTAAGCCAACTGATAAATAAAGAAACTTTAAATTGGCAGAAATTTCAATTGAGTTTGGTGTAAGGCTCACTCTGCTAGCTATGTTAGCAAACCACATTAGCTGACTGGGCTGTCATGAATGCTACGTGGCACAATTTAACACATTACCACATTAAAAGAAACATTAAACAACTGCTTATTAGCTGGAGGATAACAGTTTAGGTAAAGCGAGGTTACTTTTAAAAGCTAGCAAGCTAAAAACTTAGCACCACATTGCCGGTGGCTAACTGACAGCAGGGACCTAACCACAAGCTAGGCTAGCTGCTAGCTGGCTAATAAGGAGCAAATGCAGCCGCTCAAGGCGCTTAATCGTCACCTTTTTGCCTTCGTTCACTTTGAGCTCGCTCATCTTCTCCACGACAGTCTGTTCAGCCATGACAAGTACGAAGCTACCCCACTGCTGGAGATAACTTGTGCCGGTGCGAGGTGTCTGAGCGGAGGGCAGTCACGGTGCCGGTGAGGGCTGATGACGTCTCCCGGATATTCTGATGCAACATTGCTGCGTGGAGTCGGACTGAGGCGGCGCTTCAGCGGACGGAGAACACCTGCTGTCCTCCTCCTGGACTCTAAAACACTCAAGTTGTTAAAGCAGTGTGCTTTAGTCTGTCTTTGAAATAATGTGGTTCAAGGCACTTTTAAAAATATCAATCTGTTATACATAAACTACACCGTCACATAATGCTTCCTCAGTATTACCCCAGTATAATAATTGTTATAATCAGACCATTATGATCTGCTGAAGTTTTCCTCTTATTTGTTGGCTACGGTGGTTAGTTAAATCAATCATGACTTTTCAAGTGAAGTGATTACTATATATGACCAACACTAAACAGAAAAAGTTATATGAAAAAGAGAAATCTATGATGTACTCAGTGTTTAAATTAGACTGGTCTGTTTATCTGATTCCAATACCAGGGATTACTAAAAAAAAAAGCAGACCAATAACTAACATTATATGGACTTGACATGAATTTACTGTAAAACTGAACATTTTTTATTTAAAATAGCACAAACTTAAACACAAAATGCCTCTGTTTGGTTATGTTTGACACGTGTTTAATTAAAAGAGAACTTTCCAGTGTTTGTTTTTCAGCGTTGATGTAGATTACTGCTTGACATTTAAGCAGACAGCAGTGTGGGTGGCCACGGTACATTACAGGAACATAACATAACATAAGATAACATCAGAATTAGAATCAACATCAGAAAAACGTATTAGATCCCAGAGGGGGAAATCGTTTATGTTACAGTTGGTCCCATTCAGAGTCTTAGAAATATAAGCAGATGAAAAAGTACAGGCAAAGATGACTAGAAAAATCTGAACATAAGAAGATAATGCACGCATAAAATGTATATTGTACTGGGAAAATAAGAAAAAAATAATCAAATAATATGTTGAATAAGTAGCTAAAAGCAGTCTGCATGCATGGTGACACATGAACACTACCTAACATCCATCCATCATCTCTACACCTTAATCCTCACTAGGGTCATGGGGGGCGGAGCCTATCCCAGCTGACTCAGGGTGAAGGCAGGTTCACCTGGACAGGTAACCAGTCTATCACAGGGCTACACTTAGAGACAGACAACCAAGCACACTCACATTCACACCTACGGACAATTTACAATCACCAATTAACCTCAGCATGTTTCTGGACTGTGGGAGGAAGCCGGAGAACCTTGAGAGAACCCACGCTGCACGGGGAGAACATGGAGACTCCACGCAGGAAGATCCCGGGTGTCCTCACCGGGACGCCAACCGGCGACCTCCTAACCACAGAGCCACCTTGCAGCCCCCTAACATACCATAATTAATAATTTTTCAGATGTTTTGTTAACTAGTATTTGATATTTTCATGATGTATTGAGCCAATCATGCGTCTATATTCACTGAAAACTGGACTTCCTGTTATAATTGCATTCCAAGACCTACACACTATTAGTTGGTCTAATAGTCTACAATATCCAGTCCATGTTTATGAAATCTAGAAACACCAGGGGCAGTCTCCAGGCCCAGACACAACGCCGTGGACATGACCTCAGTTTGCTCAGTGGTAACTACAGCTCTAATTATCATAAGCACCAACACCCCAGCAAAAAAAGGAAGGAAGGATGTATGCAGCCAGCACACATCCCTCAGAAAACACAGCTTAATTATCTCTGCAATATTGATTCTGTGCGGAGGGAAGGGAAACAAGCAGGTGATATCTGGATGCTGCTGCTTTCTGTTTGGTCGCACTCTTGCACAGCATCTTATTGACAGCAGGGCGACGGTACTCTGGACCGGTGAAGCTGCGTTGCATGTTTTCATTACCAGCATCTCATTTCGCTGTTCAACACACCGACAACCAGAGAACAATCTTAAAGTGCTCGCTGCTCTTATTTTTGGCTCGAGCAGAAGCACTGTTCTGGGGACACGACAGCATGACCGCCACTTTAGAGCAGAGACTTCCTGAGTCGACCAGAACAGTAATTTCATCTTTTCTTCACATTTCTTATGTGATCTGAAATTATTGTAGTGTCTTAAATACAGCGGATCTTTTCTGCTGACGTGGCTGCCCAGAGGGGACATGAGTAAGATGCTGCGTAGGCATTATTAGAGCCGCGTTGATCAGGATTGAAGTCCTTTGTTCTACTTGGTCTCTCTCCTCCGTATCAGGTGATATTTCAGCCCACATCCCCCCCAAGGCTCACAGCCGCGGTGTTATCATCAAGTTCTGGAGTTAGATTCTCACAGAGCTGCTTTTTCACTATAAGATCATTTGTGAAGTGGGAAAAAAATTAAAATAAAAATAAAGGAGGAGAACTGAGGTCTTGATGCTCACTGTTCTGCCACCAGCGGTTGGTTTCACTCGCACATTCAGTTGCCAGTAGCAACCACAACTCCACTAGTTGCAGTTTAATGATGTTGTAATGCCCTTGTTGGAACATAATCTGTAGGTGTTGTGTTGCTATTGCCGTTTTGTGATGGCTGTTTTGATCAGTTTACTGCTAGCAGTTCACTAGCTGTTTGAGGCCATGGGGTCCTAATGTGAAGCTGTTTTCCTGGAGGACGGCGTGGATCATCTGACAGCTGGCCCGTCTGCAATAGTGTGGATTCAATCCTTGATTTAGTACAGCATATTTCATCCTCTCCTAAGTTCTAATCGCTGCCACTGAATGCTCTCCTTCACAGCACAAACTGCACAGGCCGACTGCTGCCTTTATTTGTCTTTATCTGTTTAACCTGCTGCATATTAATGAGCCGTCGCACATTGTTGTGTGTAAACTCCTGTTGGCTCATAAAGAATGCAGCGCAGAGTACAAGGTGCACAGGGACTGTGCAGCTGATGCCGAAACCAGACCTTCTGATTGATTTTTGGTCTATTTTTGGACTGGAAATTAAAGTACAGTGCGATGCCCTTTGTGGGTTGTTAGAATTCTCACCGAATATCGTTGCTAAATAGTCCACCGGGTATAAGGTCTGGGTCACTGGGTTGGGGTCCAGGCTGCAGTTCTGCTTTTCTCTTGCAGAATATTTTGGCTAATAATGATGAGAAAATAGGTTTTTTTTTAAATACACAGATTATATTAAATTGTTGTGCATGTGAATCTAGAAGGCAGTCTTCTATCTCCACTTTTACACATTTTGTTTTTTCTCTGTATGCTAAACACAAAATTGCTGGTCCTTATGTGGATTTTAATGGCTTTTAAACTTAATTATAAAAACCTTATTGCGCTGTTGCTCAGATGTCCAACACATTCATTACAAAACACTCTTATGTGTTTTTAATCTTTAAACAGATGAGGCTAATCTACATAATTTACACTCACAATGTAATCAAAATAACAAAGAACCGATTAATCTTGCGGCTGATTAGAATCCTACCGCTGATTGCCCTGCTTACTGAGAGAATATCTGATGCTATGTTTGCCCTATATTTTCCTGCTACCTTGCTTGAAGGCGGCAGACTTCAGACGACGTGTGCATTTCAATTATAGTCGAACAGTGGTTTTAAACTTCTGACACTCTCCGAGGGAATAAAGAAGAAGCTGAAGCTCATCGCGGTATCCTGCTGTTCTTGGCTTGTTGTGAGGAGAGGGAAGTCTTGAATAATTAACCTTCAAGCACTTGAAAAGTCAGGCACCATGTTCTATTTCTTGGCTCGGTTTTGGGCTTTGAACACTGTTCCCGTTCCAACCCAGACACGTAGACTGTGTGGTTGATGCTGAAGGCTCAAACAAGGCAGATTACAATGAATGCAGCCTCACCGTAGAGGTACCACACGCAATGTTTAATTATTGTTAAATGAACTTCTGCTCAGATTAAAGCATGTGCAACAAATGGATTGTGATAGGTTGCTGACTTGGTTTCTTATGAGCGCTGTGCTAAAATGCCACCACTTTCATTCTCCATAAATAAAGCAGGATATAAAGGTGTGAGGAGAAGTGATGCAGGTTCCCATCATTTACAGCGAGGAGGTGATAAAAGAAAAGAGAAAGGCCGCGCAAAAGTGGATTTATTCAGGGAATCCCTGCTGTAGTCAGGATGAGATTTATGCGCCATGTCAATATTCATCCTCTAATTATTTAGAGACATTCTGAATATTTCAGAACGTCTCTAAATATATCGCTAGCCATTAGGTGTCAGTAGAGAAACCTTGCAAAAGGACAAACCTAAGCCAGGATGCAATATAGCAGCCAGTCTCCAGCACTGTTTTCTGCCTGCAGTTTGCACTCCCCCACAATCCAGCAGCAGCAGCTGACACTGTCACCTCCCTCACTGAAGTTTTGATATAGCCGGCGTTTGTCTACAGGCATCTCTGGAGATAGCAGCTCGGAGTTCCTGCCTCTTTCACTCTGCCTCACATTCAAAGGAAATTGCAGAGGTGAATACATGATGGGATTTGTTCCAAATGCATCATAAATATTTCATGCGTCCGTGATATATATATTTTTTTTTATTTCAAACGCACTCGATGAAATCATCATTTCCTGCTATTGTCCAGGGAACGCCGCCTCATAAAAGACATTCTAACTGTGTGAGATGTCCAGTTTAAACAGCCTCGCTAATTCCTACCCACGGCCAGCATCCACAAAATGAAGCCTTGAGTTTGCGATGCGTGAAAGATGCAGAATCTTAAGCTGTAAACAACGCAGACAGATGATAAGACTGGCTGTGGGAGGTGTTTTCAGACAGGATGAAACCTCTTAAGGGCACTTGATGAGGATCATCAACACCTCGGAACAAATCCAGATTTAATAATACGGGTCGGAAAGTGAAAGTATTCCTACAGCTCGGTCCAAATCAGCCCAGTGTGTTCCTCCTCCAAGGGCGAGCTCCAGCATGAAAAATCGCTGGCCTTCAGCCGCCCTCCATACTGGAAGAGGATGACACCAGGTCAGAGACAAGGGCAGGGAGATTTGCTGCTCGCCCCAACCAGGCAGACAACCATCTGCTGCAAAATCCTTTAAGAGATGGTCCAATCCT